ATATGTTAACTCTTATACGGACAGCCTTTTGATGTAAAAGTGATCTTTTAATTATAACCATAGGCGTCACATTTAAGAATGTCAACTGATATTTTTAATTATATTTTTTTATCTTCGAATTTTTGGTATTTTTTATCAAAATCGAAAACTTCGGAGTATTCTAGATTAAAGAGGTACTTTTGTCTGGTACTTGGTTAGGATGTACCGTATGCGAGCAAAATCTATTTGAAATGTTTGTGTTTTTTTCGTACCATAATTATAAAATTTAGAAATTCTTTGCTAATATTTAGTGGTTGGCTTTGGAAAACAGATAACATAGCAACCGGTAACTATACTGTGAATATCAGTTTTAGAAATTAGTTTTCAATCAAAGTCTTTTTCTCCAAGTTCTTAATTTAAATTGTCAGGTTTACGACAGGAGAATATGCCGATGCGCATTTAGTGTACGCTGAAATACAACGTAACTCGAACAGCGGCACGTCGAAAAATTTCCGAATAGAAGTCATCTTCTTCATAGCACCTTTACTGAACTGCACCAAAGATTAAGAGAAACTGGATCAATGATTCCTAAAAAACAAGACACATTACCGGAAGTTGAGGAAAACCCTGAAATTAGTGTAGAAGGCTGGCTGCAATGTATTCGAATATTTCAAGAACTACTATATGAGACATTTTGCACAAGGAAAACCTATATCCTTTTCATTTTAGAAAAGTTCGGGCATTGAAAGACACCGATTCTCCCGCTAGTGTTGAATTTTCTAACTGGTTACGACACTAAAAAATTCGAAACCCTAATTTTTTTCTGATATTTTATTCTGCGAAGGACGGAATTTTTAATATGCAGAATGCTCATCAGTATTCTTATGTTAGTGGCAAGTCCCATGCTAAAAAGAGACGAAACATCAGGATAGATTTAGCATAAATGTTTGGATAGAAGTTTTTGGAAATAATCTCCTAGAACCTGTGCAACTGCCTAATCGCCTAAATGGACAAGATTATATACATTATTTTGGAGTATATTTTACCAAATTTATTAGATGATATACGTTTGGATATTCGACAGAATTTGTGGTTTCACTTCGGGTAATTGTTCGCGAATTTTAGAATGCTATTTACGGACAGCAGTGGATCGAAAGAGGGCGTCCAGTTGCTTGACCAGTAAGGTCTCTGAATTTAAATCCTGGCGATTTCTGTGCTTGAGAATACCTAAAATCATTAGTCTATTTTCAACCATTACAAACACGTGATCAACTTTGGGCACGAATTCAACACGCATGTAAAAAGTTTAGAACTGTAGTTGAATCTTCACAAGGATACGTCAACCACACCCAAGAAAGCCACATATCATTTTCGAAGGAATTCGATGCGCTGACCACGATCCTGTAGTCAAAATTCATGACTTCGCAAGAAATTTCGGAGAACGGTGAAATCTTTGTGAGAAAATTGATCCAAATATGGGTCAAAACAGATTTTTTCCTAATATATAATTTTCCCAGTATTTTGAGGTGCTCAACACGATGTCATTAGTAAAATTTACCCATGACCTCGATATTTCTCAGAAAATCCACTATTGGGTTAAAGCATACAAAATACTTTGTTGATAACTAAATTATCATTAAAAATTCGTATGTGTATAAAACAACAACACAACACATTGAAAGATTCTTATATACCTAAAATAAAATTAAAAAAATTAAAATTGTGCATCAGTGTAAAAAATCGACAAGATAAATTGACTTAATTTCTGTAAGTGTACAATAAAATGCTTCTAATTTAAGTAAATTAAAACTGGAACTCATTCCACATAAAAAGAAATATTCAGTATTTTGTTAGTAAGGTGAAATAATAGCTTTGTAGAGTACCGTCAAACGGGGTGATACGGATCAGATGGGGTGAATGGGATCATGGGTATATTTTTTTAAATATTCCCGCGTATCGCCCATTTACCATGCTAGATCGAATACAAGTATTAGCAGTGGCGGCGCGTGAACATTGATTGAATGTGTTCTGCTTAGGGTTGTTACATTTGTTGAATTGAATTCCGAGATATTAAGTGCCCGGAGTCTCTAAATGGCGCCGCAGGCGAAAAATTTTAAAATTTTCAAGGTCACGCGTTTTCCTGGCACTTCTGAATTTCAAGGAACAATGAATTTATAAAAAAAATACAGATTTTCACAAGAATGATTTTTGAAATTGATACCTTTTTGAAATATCCATTTACGAATTACCTACTGATGGTATAATAAATTGGAATAAACTAAATATATTTTATTAAATTATTGAATATTGTTTATAAAAAAAAATCGTTTGTGAAATTTACCAACGATTCAACG